GCAGTGTATTATTTGTTGAAACTGTACTTTCGATTTGATTTGAAACTGTCTCATTGCTATATGTTTATCAATAAAACTTTGAAAAGGAAAAAAAAAAATCTTGAGCTTATAATCTCTCTCAGATGCCAGATAGCCATCTGACTGTTATTTATCCTCTACTTATTTCAAGCTTCAAAGAGTTCTTTAATTTAGTACTCTCATTTTTCATGATTTATAGTTAATCATAATGTCACCCTTTTCTATGTAAGATAATACTGGCTTTGTAGTCCTACAGAAGTCTCTTGATTTTCTTCATCTACTTCAATTTCTCTGTACCGTTTCATTTTTGAAGCACTTTTCTTGAGATGATTCAGTGGAAAGAACAGTAGGCAGAGGGGAGCCAGGAGTCAGCTCAGATTCTTCACCAGAAAGATGAGAAGACTGCACCAGATAAATTTGTAATAGGGTCCCTTGCATCTCTAAGCCTGTATTACCAAGGCTCTGGGGCTTCCACCTAGGAACCATCCAGCATTCTGAGCAGTCCTCCAAACTCTTCAGTTACTAAGGAGGGGTCGGAAGGTCCAGCTGGGGATAGTAAGAGGCAAAAAAATCAAGAAGCCCAGGGCGACCGAAGGGAAGGGCTGATATTGTGAGGATCAAGAGAAAAAGATGGATATTAACAAGAAAAACCAGGCACCAAAAAGACTCCAGACACAAACACATGGCCTGAACTTAAGCTCCCCTCTAGCCATCTACTTGGGGGGAGAGGGGGAGACACAGGACACAAGAGGGGACCACTCAGCGCACAGCAGCCCTGGGGTGGTGTGCACTAAAGGGCCCGCACCCATCACTTATTAGATCCTCAGCCAGCAGAACTGAAGGCCTTCAGAAAGGCTACAAGGTTGGTGAGGTCCAAGCTACAAGAATTCTACTGCCCTGACTCGCTCAGGGAGGAGGGACACGTGGTCCGGGGGCCTCGCTCACGTGCTCAGGATCCTGCAAAGAGCTCCCAGGAGGGAAAAAGTCGTTTAAAAGACACAGGCAGTCTTAACGCAGCCCCAGCAATACCAGGATGTGTAGGAAAGCCACTTCCTGCCCTGAAAGCAGGCAGTCCTGGTTTCCTGGCCTCTGACTGGCTGGAGTTGGGGGAGGGGGGATTATGCCAAGGAGGCCAAAAGGGATCTGGTCAGTTTGTAAAATTGCCAGCCCTAAAGTGTTTTCTCCGGGCGTGGTCCCTGGACGGCCAATAAAAGACCAGGAAGGAGGAGCGTATGCTTCAAATGCACACTCGGGTCCCAGCACAGATCTCTAGAATACAATTCCTAAAAGTGGTGTCAGGTAAGGTCTGACAACTACCTACCTATTGCATAGAACGTAGTGATTTTTTTTTTTGGGGGGGGGTCGCTTGAAAGTAAAGTTCTGTTTAGAATTCATTACCTCTGACAATACTACCAGCACTGTTTTGGGATCCATGTTTGTTTGTTTTTTAAATCTCAATTTCCCAGGTAACATATGTAAGATAACAGTGACCAGGAATACAATTAAAGAACCTGGAAAATGTATATTTCACAAGCTGGTTAAATTAAATGGTTCCTTCCAAGCCCCGTTTATCTTGGCAATCTGTTCACTAGATTCTTAGTTAAAAATAAATCGGCTCCGCGCGCCTGTAATCCCAGTACTCTTGGGAAGCTGAGGCAGGATGATCTCAAATTTGAGTCCAGCCAGAGCAACATGCCGATACCCTGTCTCGAAATAAAAATAAGTATATAAAAAGGGGCTGAGGATGCAGCTCAGTGCGAAGGCCCTGGACCCATCTCCAGTACAGACGGGGAAGGAAATCGGTTCAACCCTGCAATTCTCAGAAAGAATCTCGCATCGCCAACTAGAAGGTTTTCTGTGCGCGCAGAACGAGCTTGCAAGAACGCACGCCGTCTGCTATGTAAGTTTCCACTTGAAAGCACACTGCCGGCTGAGGCTCGCTCTCCCGGCGTCCTGCACTGCGAGCCCCGGGTGGAAGCCAGTCCCGCGCGGGCGGCAGGGAGGAAGCAGGGTGAAAGGACAGGCGACGCGCGCCTTCGGCTCCAGCCGAGCGGCGGAGGACGTCAGACCAACATCATTTTTAATATCCAATTAATTGCCAGGAAAACAAAACAAGAACAACATCGCGTCCGCCGCCGTGCGGAGACGCCCGCCGGCTCGGTCCCCACCCACCCGGCGGCCCGCGAGCGCGACCGCGCAGCCTCCGTCCCATCCCGTCCCGACACAAAGGCTCCCCGCGGGCCGCGTCGTCAGGTCCCTCTCCGCCACTTACTGGTCCTCGCTCCCGCCGCCGCCGCCGCAGCGCTCCGCCCGAAGCCGCCCCGCAGCCTCAGTGCCTCTGAGGCGCGCACCCCTCGCCCCAGCCACCGCGGCCACGCGGCTGAGTCACCCGGCGCTTCGCGATAAGAGTCTCTGCGCGCGGGGCACGCCGGGAAGGGGGCGTGTCCTGCCCTGGCCTCTCCTCCCCACCCCTGGCCTGAGTAGGAGGAGGGAAGAGGGGGAGGAGGGAAGAGGGGAAGGAAGAAGTGGAAGGAGGGAGGAGGCAGGGAAGGGAGGAGGGAGCGGCGGGGGTGGGGGCTCCTCCTCTTGCTGAAGAAACCCGCGCACGTCCCGGCCGGCGCTGCAGCGCCTGTTTTTCAAGGAAAAAAAAGTGTGTTTTCTGAATCGGAAAAGCCGCTGGCTTAGTCCCAGGACAGCTAACGGTTCCAGGAAAACGGGGAGCCCCTCTCTCCGTGGGGTGCAATGGTAGTGAAAAGAATGCAGTTCTTTGAACACATTTTTCTTGGATGCCCCCATCCTGCAGGTGCGTGCTGGTCCAAAAAGGAGGGAAGAACCTTTGGTTCCTCGAAGCGTGAGTGTCGTGAAGGGACCTGCAACAGCAGACAGCAGAACTACAAATTTCAATTCAGCGGAAAGCGAACGATTGGAAAACTGGCGGTGTTAGGTGTGAAATACCTCGGCAAATCTGTGGCTGGTCCCTGCCTTAGAAAAAAAATGGACAAAACCTAAAAATAGGATCAGTTGTTATGGTTTTACACTTTTTAAAACATCCTTATCATTATTGTTATTCTTGTTATTATTTCTTAATGTTTAAAAATAAAAGTCCTAAAAATAGTTTTAATTATTCTAAAGAAGTACTGATTTTGCAGTGTTTTAAAACTGTCATCGAAAGCCATATAAACAAATGTTGCACGATTTCTTTTTTTTTTTTTATTTTTTCCTTTTCCTTACAAGAGTCTCGGAATAAATCCTAAATTGGGGCTAAGGATTAGAACTGGAGTTGGAATGGAGGGGATGTCAAAGAATAGAGTCCCATTCCAGTAGGTTGTGAGTGGGTGACAGAGCTCCTACAGCAAAATCGCTTATCAGGGTAAACAACCTCAATTTGCAAAGCTGAAGATACCAACTTTTATGACTCAGGTTTAGAGCCCTAGAGAATTTGTGTCTGTGCGGGAATTGAGCCAGGGCCTCCAGCGAGCTAGGCAAGGCTCCGGCCCTGAGCTGCATCCCGCCTTGTTCCTGTGCTTACACTTACACCTCCAAGAGGATGCGGACAAGGTCAGCAGCACAGAGTTGTGTTTATCTGAGTCTGGTCTGACAGGGTGCTGACGCTGCACTGGTTACCTGTGAGCCAAATGACACCCAGACAGTGCCTCCCCAGCGACCTGGAGTTTGCAGCTGCTTCCTTCCCAGGCCGCCGCAGCAGGGACCACCGCAGAGGCAGCTGGGAGAATCCTGCTAGGCTTGCTTCTCTTCCCTCAGCTGAGAGCCATGGACCTGTCACATGGCCCTTCCTGTGTCCAGGGAAAAGGAAGATTTGCCTAGTAAACCCTCAGCACTGTCTCTGCCACGAAGTTCAGTAGTAAAAGTAAATACAGAGTTGAGTGTTAAAATAGCAAAGAGGATTGTTCAAACGAATGCTCTTTTTTGCATTTCTATAAAGTATATTATAACCTTCCTGTCAAGGGAAAGAAAAAACAAAAAGCACTTTTGATATTCCTGCAAGTCAATTCTTGAAAGGAATTCCTTTCAGCAGGCCACATGTGAGTCTCCCAAACTTGAGATCTAGCTGCTCATTTATAGGAAATTTGGGGAACTGAAGGACGGTTCAGCTACAGCACTAACATACGCTTATAATAGTAAACCCTGCAGCTTTATAATAGTAAATCTGGTCCAATGATTGGAGAATCAGGCTCACTACTGTCTTTTTTAAAAATTGTTTTTCTTTTGGAAAAATTTAAAAAGCATTCAGGAAGGAATTATAAATGCCGGCTGCTCATTACCCTAAATGAATAAGTGATAACATGTCTTTTAATTCACAGTGGAGACAAATGGCTTCTGTTCTGTTTTGTTTTGCTTTGTTTATTTTGTTGTTGTTCCGTACCAGGAACCAAACTCAGGACCTAGCCCTTGCCAGGAAGGCCCTGGGCTGCTGAGCTACATTCCCGGTCTGGTTTCTCTTCTGGCTCATGCAAGAGCCATGCCCACCAGGTACTTCCTGAGGAACAGACATCAAGGGAACAAGGGAAGACACACGCGTGTTCACAGAAAACAGCACTAGGCTCCCGCTGTTTTAGCATTTGCTTCCCAAGTTAGTGTATCCCCCAGTCCTGAGTCTCTGAGAAGTATTTATAATCTGAAGGTGAACATCCTCTAAGGTCAGAAGAGCAGGCCTGGAGCTTTCAGCTGTGGGAAACCACCAGTTCAAAGGACAATTTAAAGCCAGGCAAGGTGGCGCACCCTTGTGATCTGAGCACTCTGGGAAACTGAGGTGGAAGAATCGCGAGTTCCAGCCCAGCCTGGACAATTTCATGACTTAGGGAGACCCTGTCTCCAAATTTTAAAAAAGGGGAGGTGAGGGTGCTATAGCTCAGTTCATCTTTGTTATCAATATCTTCCTTAAAAATTATAAATGCTGGGGCCGGGGAGATGGCTCAGTAGAATAAGCGCTTCCCTGGCAAGTGCAAGGGCATGAGTTCAATCCCTGGTTCCGCAAAAAAATAAAATAAAATAAAATTATAAATGCTAATGTCCAGTTGGAAGCAAAAACTATTCTTTGAACACAAAATTAAGGAGACAACTAAGATTTACAACTGTCTAATGAATTTATCATTAAAACTTTATTGAAATATAACTGGAGCTAGGTGTGGTGGTGAACATTTGTAATCCCAGAACTGGGGAGGCTGAGGCAGGTGGCTCTCTATGAGTTCAAGACCAGCCTGGGCTACATAGTGGTTCGAGTTCAGGCCAAGCTACATAGTGAGATCCTGTCTCAAAAATGAAATACATATAGCTAGGCACAGTACAGTGGCACATGCCTGTAATCTCAGCTACTCAAGAGGTTCAGGCAGGAAAACTGCCAGTTCCAGGTCTCTGAGTCAGGCTAGAGGAAATGCCTCATCTGCTGACTCAGCAAACGTCTAGCTGCAGCCGGAAGGACCTGGTATCCCCAGGGGACTAGGGCACTGTGCTACTCAGAAGAAATGAGAGAATACCTGATCTGGGCAAGCCCCTGTGAATTAACAGGTATACGCAGCACAGATCAACTCCTGCTAAAATCACAAAAAGAGAAGCAGACGTTATTTATGTCCCTCCCCATGGGAGGCCTCACCACCTCCTGAGGCGCGGCCACAGTGGGAGGCCACATGTGAGTCTCCCAACTTGAGATCTACCTGCTCATTTATAGGAAACTTGGGGAACTTAGGGCGGTTCAGCTACAGCACTAACATGCGCTTGTAGGGTCCTGTGACTGGAGGGCTCTGCAAGGCCTCTTTGCCTTCTTTCTTTTTTTTATTGTAAGAGAAAAAATGTACAAAGACAAAAACAAAGGAGCATAAAACAATAAAAATGTTACAGAATTTCAAAACAAGAACAGCAAATTAACAATGGTTGTTATCTTACCTACTATTCTCATCAAATTTGTTGCTCAGATTACCAGATATAGGCGTGTAAGATTGATCAAGCAATTAAACATTAACTCTTCCTTTCACCAAATCTTAATTTTTCCTTTTTTAAAAAAAAACTTATTAAAAAAAAAACAACTTATTTTGAGGAAAGTATAAAAGTAATAGTTGAGATATGAGAGACGATATACATTGAAAAGATCAAGGTGAAAGGTACTCAACCATGGCTGTTGTACTGCACACCACTGTCTTTGATGAAGTTGCTCGTATTACAGATATTTGCATATAAAGTTGGTCAAAGAAAAAATCTTAAACATTAACTGCTACCTTCAAAGCACCAACAGAGCCAATGGTACAATCCTCTCTGCTACTCCGTGTATATGCTTATGTGTTTCCCCCTTCCTTTTTTCCTTTCTTTTCTCCTGTCTCTCATCTCAAGTGTTTATTCCTTGTGTTCAGTTTCTTTCCATTTTACTGTATCTATTGTACTGTTAAAGGCCTCCTTTCTTAAGAGACAAACAGCAATTTAGAAAACAAAATTTTAGGGCTGGTGAGATGGCTCAGTGGTCTAAAGCACCTACTTAGAACAAGCTTAGCAAAGCACAGGGACCGCGGTTCAATCCCCCAGCACCACATGCCAGCCAGCCCCGCCCCCTGGTGGGCTGAGCTGGCCACACACACACACACGCAACACAATAAATAAATGTAATAAATAAATAAACAGCGAAATAAAAAAAAAAAAAAAAAGAGCCTACTTAGGCAGATGCAGAGGCTGGGGGTTCGATCCCTGGCATGCTGGAGCATGCTGAGATGGTGATTGAGACTGGGCCTGGAGGTGTGCACCTGTAATCCCAGCACTCGGAGGGCTGAAAAACAGGATCACTACAAGTCGGATCTGTGTAGTGAGACCCTGTAGACCCTGTAGTAAATACATTAAAAAAAAAAAAAAAAAGTGTTTTAAAATGTGTGAATCCAACTCGAGGGTACATATTAGGTAGATAATAGCATTCAAGGAAGGGAGGATTTGATTAGAAAAGGGGTTATAGAAGGAAGGGGCTTCCAGAAAATTCCGTTCTTAACCAGGTGGTCATTGTCGTTACTGAATATTCATTTGCCTCAGACCAATTCATCAAGACAAATATTTCCTTTGTGCAGCTTTCTGTTCTTTCTATGTTACAAAGATCTTTAAAACAAAGATGTGGAGGGAGCAGTCTGTCCTACCCCAAAAGTGAAATGTACCTCTCCACACCAGCCCTCTGTAAATGTTTCCATTTGCTTTTCTCAGCAATAGAAGGGTTAAATCACTTAAACAGAAAAAGAAATGCTTTAAGATTTAAAAAAAAAAAAAAAAAAAAAAGTCTTGGGTGCTTGCTGGTTAGCTCAGTTGTTTAAGTGCCTGCTTTGGCAAACCCAGTCAGTTGCAGGGGACCGAGGTTCGATTCCCAGCTCCCCATGCTTCACCAGGCCTGCCCTTAAGGCAGCTTGAGCCAGCCAAAAAAAAAAAAAGTTCTCAAAAAAAAAAAAAAGAAATCTCTTAAAGATATTCCACATTGTAATACAAGTCTAAATTTTTTTCCCCTGGTACCAGGGATTGAACTCAGAACCTTGAGCTTGCCAGGCAAGCACTTATTCTACTGAGCTATCTCCCCGGCCCCTGAAATTTTATTTAGATTACTTATCCTTTTGTGGGAGCTGGACATTAAGGTATTCACCTGTTATTCCAGCTCCCAGGAGGCTGAGGCAGTAGGATCACAAATCCAAGGCCAGCCTGGGCCACTTTTTTTTTTTTTAAATTTTATTTATTTATTTATTTGAGAGAGAGAGAGAGAGAGAGAGAGAGAGAGAGAGAGAGAGAGAGAGAGAGAGAGAGAGAGAGAGAGGCCAGCTCAGCCCACCAGGGGGCAGGGCTGGCTGGCATGTGGTGCTGGGGGATTGAACCGCGGTCCCTGATGCTTTTGCTAAGCTTGTTCTAAATAGGTGCTTTAGACCACTGAGCCATCTCTCCAGCCCCTAGCCTGGGCCACTTTGCAATGTCCTGTCTCAAAATAAACAGGCTGAAGCAAATTCCTGGGATCAATCCCAAAACTGCCAACACAAAACTAAAAAAAAATCAGTCTTTTGGGGAAGGGGAATGGATGAGTCCATTTATTCTGAGTGTTAGAAAAAAAGTAAGATGCAAAGACAAAAGGTATAGACCAACCATTAGTAGTTTAATCACTTTTTTTCCCCCAGAACTGGGGATTGAACTCAGGCCCTTGTGCTCTCCAGGCAAGTGCTTATTCTACTGAGCTCTCTCCCTGGCCCCAGCTTAATCACTAAAACCTTTTCTGTAGACATTTTGAAGAGGTTAGGACCCCTCCTGTTCCCGCCCTTAGGCCAGAGCAATTCATTTCAAAACTTTGATATTTTTCTGAGGCGGGAGGATGGCACTTTTGAGCTCAGCATGAAAAACTTAGTGACAAAGTGAGACTTTGTTTCAAAATAAAAATGAAAAGGGCTAGGGAGGAAGCTCAGGGCCAAGCCCTGGGTTTGTGTCCCAGTACCAACAAGAGAAAAAAACAAACTGTGACTTTGTCAGAGTAAGTAGAACATGCAGCTTGAGACTCCAGGGGCGAAGGAGGTTCCAGAGCCAGGAGTGTAGCCACCAGGGGCCTGGCAGCCAGGCTGGGGGGAAGGCGATAGCCTGTTTATCTCTTTCCTGCTGTTAGTAGCTGACAAACCCCACCAGCCAGCCCTGGTGGCTCACCCCACCTCTGGTTTGTGACTGTATAGTTCCATGCTTTTGGTACCGGGGACTGAACTCCGGACCCTGCACTTGCCAGGCAGGAGCTTATGCCACTGAGCTATCTCCCCAGTTCCTACAGTCCCATTCTCGAACCCAACCCTAGAAATGCTCCAGAGATCTTTGTAACCTTATGAGAATTTTAAATACAAATTTAAAATTTGTATTTGAAAAAGCAAAGTAAATATTCAATCCCCTTTGTTAAGCTAAGAGTTGAGCCAGTGAAACTTTAGGTTCACAAATATTCTGGTCAACTCCTGAGCCACAGGACACCCTATATGCAGCCCAGGCTGGCCTGGAACTCATGGTGATCCTCCTGCCTCTGCCTCCCAAGGGCTGAGATTATAGGTGTGCACCACCATACCTGGCACCCAGCATCGAAGATTCTTTTACCTTGCTCAAATAATATTTCTCTCAACTCCAAGCTTTCAATAACTAAAAACGTGCAAAATCTGTCTACCAAAGCATGTGTGCTGGCTTCCCAGCTGCTCTTCGAGAAATCTCATGGTGAAACGCAGCCCCCCAAGGCTGGGGCTATAGCAGACCCGAGGTCCTGGGGTCCGTCCTCAGCACCATCACTGATAACAGAGCTATTATTTAAATAGGACTAAACTCTTGTTAAGAGGGTACTTTGTTTTCTAGCAAATACGTCCTGCTTAATTTTTTTTCTCTCTCTCCTCTTTTGAGACCGGGTCTCGCTCTGCAGCTCAGGCTGGCCTTGAGCTCACTTTGTAGCCCAGGCAGGTCTTCAACTCGCAAGTATCCTCCTGCCTCAGCCTCCGGAGCGCTGGGATCACAGGGGTGCGCCACTGTGACCAGCCCACTTATTAGCTTTACAAGGCTCTTCTCCTACCTTCTGTAGTCACATAATAATTTCCACTCCTTCTTTCTAGTAACTGTTTAAATTGAGATGGTAGGACAGAAACGTGACAGCTACTTGAGGCTGAGGCAGGAGGATCTCAAGTTGAAGGCTAACCTGGACAATTTAGAGAGACTGTTCCATCAGAGAGAGAGAGAGAGAGAGAGAGAGAGAGAGAGAGAGAAGTGTGGGGGATGTAACGCAGTACTTTCTGGGTTCAACCTCCATGCCCCTTCAAGCTGAACTCTGGGACCAATATTTTTTAATATTTTTAATTTGTTGTGCTTTGCAGAGATAGGAATCAAACTCAGTGCCTCACACATACACTAGGCAAGTGATTGCTTGCTGAGCCATGTTCCCGCCCCTGTGGCCACATAGCTCGGCGGACTGAAGGGCCTGTTTAGTCTGCGCGCAGCCAGGGTTCTATCCCCAGCCTGGTGTGCCAGCCCCGCACACCGACGCAATTGAGACTGGGCAAGGTGGCGCCCGCTTGCAATCCCAGCACTTGGGAGGCCGAAAACAGGAGGATCACTAGGAGTCCGATCTGTGTAGTGAGGGCCCGTAGACCCCGTACTAAATACATTAAGAAAATAAATAAAATAAATTAAATTCAAAAGACCTTGGAAATCATCCAGTTCCATAGCCCGCCCAAACCTATAACCCATTTGTTTGTGGAATAAAAGCCAATGAAGGGGGGCTGGAGAGATGGCTCAGTGGTCTAAAGCACCTACTTAGAACAAGCTTAGCAAAGCACAGGGACCGCGGTTCAATCCCCCAGCACCACATGCCAGCCAGCCCCGCCCCCTGGTGGGCTGAGCTGGCCACACACACACACACACACACACAAATAAAAATTTAAAAAAAAATTTAAAATTAAAAAAAAAAGCCAATGAAGGCAGCCAGAGCATGGCAATGCACACCTGCCACCCCGGGCAGGAGGCTGAGGCAGGCTGGTCTGCTGTCGGGATTGAATGAATGAATGAATGTAACAGAAGGACCACCAGTCATCTAACATACCAAGTACTTATTAAAAATCAGGGACATTTTCTGAAAAACAATTTTTTTTTTTTTTTGGACAGGGAAAAAACACAAAGAAGCAAGAGGACGAGGAGGTTGTTTACCGACCTAAGGGAGCTCAGATTCCCTCTCTCAAAGTAGCAAGTTGTTGCCACTTGCTGAGGGTAACCTGCGCGCCCCAGCAGAAAAACCCAAACATGACCAGACTTGTGAGCCTCGGGACCCCGGCAGCCATGGCCCTGAGCCCAGGTAAGAGATGAGCGCGGCTAGGTGAAATACTCCAAGCACGGTGTATTTTCCTTACTCTTGGGGACATGAAACCGACAGTTACCTATATTGCTTAAAAATTAACTGCAGGCACACAGTGGTAAATCTATTCAACCAATCTCTTCCATTCTGAAAATCCAAAACTGATTTGACCGCGTGGCTGAGGTGGTGTCCTGCTGCTAGCTCAGAATCCCTGATGCAGTACTAATTATGATCAAACTGACTAAACTGGGTCAAATTTATCCTTGTGGGGTGTTTGTTTGTTCTGTTTGTTTGAGACGGAGTCGAGCCCTGTAGTATAGGATGGACTTGGAGCTCACTGTGCTGTCCAAGCTGGCCCTGAACTCACAGCAAACCTCCTGCCTCAGCCTCCTGAGTGCTCCTAATGCAGGTGTGCAGCACTGTGCCTGGCTTTTCATAAAAATTTGTCTTTCAACCTAAGCAGGCAACTTCTGCATTTTTCAGGGAGGGAACAATTGGTATTTGGTTCCTTTTTGATTTTGCCAACACAGGAAAGAATAAGAAGGAAAGGTAAATTGCAGTTTGATTTGCAAAAACCTACTTCCTCCATGTCCCCCACGTCATCAAATTAAAACCTTACCAAATTATACCTTTATTTTGTAGAGATTAAAAAACATGTCGGGCCAGGCGTGGTGGCCTACGCCCATAAATCCAGCGCTCAGGAGGCCAAGGCACAAGGATCGCTGCAAGTTCTAGGCCAGCCTGGGGTACGAAGTGAGAACAAGGCCAGCCTGGACGACATGGTGAAACCCTGTCTCAAAAAGGAGGGGAAAAAAAAAAAAAAAAGCTATATCCTACCCCCAAAAATGGAGTTTTTCAGCTTACTAGTGGTACCTGCTCTCCACCAACAAATGTGGTGTCCATTTTCTGGAAAGCACTTGGTTGACTGCAATTTTAAATTTCTATCTCTCCCTGTTTCTCAGAGCTTGAGATTCTGTTACCTGTGCACAATGTCTAAAGCTTATGTCTCCACCAAGACGTCCTCGTGAAGCCCAACACAGCAGTCGCTGGTATCCCCGCAGGGTCTCGCAGCCGCTGCCCCTTCTAGAATTTACATTCCACTCTTCTATAAAATGTTTTCACTCCCGCTTAGTTCTCAGAGGCAACCACGTTCCCCTAAAGTGCTTTCATACTTTCACTTCACAAGCAGAGGCAGGGTAGAGAGTTAAGTTTAAAAATTCAGCTTGTTTTTGAGGCAGCGTTTTGCTGCGGAGCCCAGGCTGGCCTCCAATGCCCAGCAACCCTCCTGCCTCAGCCTCCAGAGTGCTGGGATCTCAGGCTTGCGCCACCACACCCACCATAAATTAGAAATTCTTGAGGGCCAAGAAGGATGAATGAAAGCAAAAGGAGGCCCTGCTCAGTACTGCTGGGGGCAAGATGGACCCGGGGTGGAACCTCATCATAGGAAAGGGCAGGGGAGGCACGCGTGACACTGTAAATGGATAGAGCGGTCACCAGCGTTCAGCTGTTCCACGTCTTCCTCCCTTTGAGGGTGCTTGCATTTTTTTCTAAGGCTCACTCCTTCTACCTCCTTTCCATGGACACATTTTCTTTTTATTCATTCAAAACCATACCAGATGCACGCTGTAGTGGGGGTGCACACTTGTAATCCCAGCCATCCAGGAGGCTGAGGCAGGAGGATTGCAAGTTTGAGCACAGCCTGGAAAATCTACAGATATTCTGTCTCAAAAAATTTTTAAAAGGGGTGGGGTGGGGCCATAGCTCAGCGATATTCCCCCAATCAAAACAAAAAGCTAAGCTTCTATATTATGCTCCTTGGGTTAGGTACGGGGGCACTCATGGTGACAACTGTCAGCAATCGTCTCATGGCGCACACACTGTGACCAAGGAGGCAGACAGTGGTGATTCCAGAGTAAACGTTGAATGCTATGGGAGATGCAACCAATCCGGAGGAAGCCCAGGGGCCTGCAGCTGGGCTTGGTGCTGGCTGACATGTCTGCCTGCCCTTCAAGCACAACTACTCCAGGCTTAGGGAAGAGTCCGTGCCGAAGCCTGACTTGCATGGATGGGCTGCCTGTAGCTGCTGTCCAACTCAGCAGCAGGCACAGCGGCACGTGCTCGTGATGCCAGCATTCGGGAGGCTGAAGCCGGACGAATGCTCCTAGCTAGAGGCCAGCCTGGGCTACAAAGGGAGCTCAAGGCCAGCCTGAGCTGCATAGCCCGACCCTGTTTCAAAAAGACAAACAAAAGCTCTGGGTGATCTTCCTGCCTCAGCCTCCGGAGCGCTGCGCTGCGCTGCAGGTGTGCAACCACAAGGCCCCCTATGGAAATGTAGCCCACTGGTATTTCATTTTTCCGATGCAGATATCAGATTTCACATTTCTCCTCTCTGGCCTCCCGGTCGGTTGGTCAGTCTCTCTCTCTCTCTCTCTCTCTCTCTCTGTCTCTGTCTCTGTCTCTGTCTCTGCCTCGGCTGCTGCACTTGATTTTCCTAAGGAAATCCCAGGGAGTGAGGTTGTAGTTTGGACGAAGAATTCATCTAGCTCCGCTATGCCAGTCACCATTTAGGTCCTTATTCTTAGCAGAAGTGAATTAATTAATGCGTTGGGACCCCGGCCTCCCTGCGTGGATGTCTGTCCATCTATCTGACCAGCCATCTGTCCTTAGCTCTGGCCAGCCGGTCCCCACCACACGTTTCCTGCTCCTGGCTAACTGTGTCACCTTCATCCGTTACAACACAACTCGGTCAGTCACCGCGCTGCTGACCGACTGGCTCCTCTCTTAGGACTACACGTGAAACTGGGTTCTGTCGCAGCGTCAGGCTGAGCGCTGGAGCGGGAGGGCTGCGGGAGGGCAGCGAGGGCCCTGAGGGAGGAGGAAGAGGAGGCGGGCAAAGAATTGTTCAGGCTGGCCTGGGGGCGGCGCTTGTAGGGGCGGCGCAGCGTCCTAATAGGTGCCCTGGGGAAGGCTGGGCACGCAAAACACGAAAGAGGAAGTCCGCCAGCAGCCGGGGGAGGAAGCAGGAAGTCGGTCGGGGGCGGTGCGGCTGCTGGTGCTGGGGTCCCCGCGCCGCCCCGACTCAAAGCCCTGATGCCCCTGCGGAGCTGCGCGGGGCGCGGACCCGCCAGCAGCGCAAGCCTGCCGAGTCAAAAGTCCTCCCGTTTTATGGGAATGAAACAGACTCCACATAAAATTTGCTGGCTGTGGTGGCGCACACCCATAATCCCAGCGCACGGAGGCTGAAGTAGGAGGATCGTTGCGAGTTTGAGACCAGCCTGGGCTGCAGAGTGAGCTCAAGTCCAGCCTGAGCTGCACAGGGAAACCCTGTCTCAAAGAGAAAAATAGGGCTGGTAAGATGGCTCAGTGGTCTGAAGCACCTACTTAGAACAAGCTCAGCAAAGCACAGGGACCGCGGTTCAATCCCCCAGCACATGCCAGCCAGCCGCGCTCCCTGGTGGGCTGAGCTGGACACACACACACACACACACACACACACACTAATAATAATAAATAAATAAAATAAAATTTAAAAAAAAGAGAAAAATACTCTAACTTGCTGTATTTAGAAAACCGTGTCTATATATCGACTTTCGCCCAAGTTTATTGCCTTCTCCGTATCTCTGAAAGGACTCAGGAAATGCATCAAAAATCTCTACCCATGCATTGTGAGCAGCTAGAGGACAAAAGTCTTTATTCTTTGCAAGTTTCCCAAAATACCCGGCAAATGTTTATACATCGCGTTGCTTAAAAGCAGCCAGTGGCTGGGTGTGGTGGCTGTCATACCAGCACTGTTGGAGGCTGAGGCAGGAGCGTCTTAAGGTCAGCCTGGGCAACTTAGTGACTTAAGAAGATCTTGTCTCAAAATTTAGTAGATGGCTAGCTAGCTACATACATACATAGATACATACATACATGGGGCTGAGATTATAGTTCATTGTGAAGCCCCAGTGCCCTCCACACATTAGAAAAGAGAAGAAAAAAACAACAGAAAACATACTCCAAGGGCTGGCCTGATAGCTCAGCAGAATAAAGTGCCTGCTTAGGCAGAGCACAGCGGCCAGGGTTCGATCCCCAGCCTGCCATGGCGCCCTGCTCAAGGGGCGAGCTGAGACCTCGATGGAGACTGGGCGTGGTAGCACACGCCTGTCATCCCAGCGCTTGGGAGGCTCAAAACAGGAGGATCACTACAAGTCAGATCTACGTAGTGAGACCCTGAGCACGCTGTAGACCCTGTCCTAAATACAGGAAAATAAAAAAAGAAAAGAAAAGAAACAAAGTCAGATCTACATAGTGAGACCCTGAGCACCCTGTAGACCTTGTCCTAAATACAGGAAAAAAGAAAAGAAAAGGAACAAACAAACAAAAAAAGAAAATGTACTCTATCACTTCATAGTTGCAGAGGATCCTAAGATTTGGAGCGTGGGCAAAAATAGCAAATGGAAAAATATTAATTTTGAAAAACTAACACGTTAGTCCTGCCTTTTCTGTGCCATAGCTACTGACCACATTCAGTTATTCAGCACTTGAAATATGGCAATAGAGGAAGTAAATTTTAAGTTTTACTTGTTTTTAATTTAATCTGACAATCAATTTACTTTTTGGAAACATTCAAAAACATTCCAAACAACTTAAACACGTGCCTCTAGTTTTCTAGTTATCAACTTCATGACCTCTAAATACAGATCCGGGCTTTCCACTGAAAGCCAGCTGGCCCTTGAAGTGCGATGATGGACCATAAGCATAAAAAGAAACACTCGATTTCAAAAAGGTGCATATAATAAAAAGAATGTAAAGGGTACTATGAATAACATTGCACTGATTATGTGTTATAATATTTTAGATCTATTTCCCTAAGTAAAATATATTAATAAAATTACATTACTAAGATGTAATTATACTCGATTTTACTATTGTAAAACTTAAAATTGCATATGGAGGTGGTACAGCTCAATGCAGAGCATTTGCTAAGCATAAGTGTTTCTCCTTCTCTTCCCCTCCTCCTCCTCCCCTCCTCATTTCTCCTCTTCCTCTTCATCCTCCTCCCCTCCTCCTCCTCCCTCCTCCTCCTCCTTTTCTTCATCCTCCTCCTCTTCCTCCTCCTCCTCCCCTCCTCCTCCTCCTCCTTTTCTTCATCCTCCTCCTCTTCCTCCTCCTCTTCCTCCTCCTCCTCCCCTCCTCCTCCTCCTCCTTTTCTTCATCCTCCTCCTCTTCCTCCTCCTCTTCCTCCTCCTCCTCCCCTCCTCCTCCTCCTCCTTTTCTTCATCCTCCTCCTCTTCCTCCTCCTCCCCCCCTCCTCCTCCTCCTCCTTTTCTTCATCCTCCTCCTCTTCCTCCTCCTCCTCCCCTCCTCCTCCTCCTCCTTTTCTTCATCCTCCTCCTCTTCCTCCTCCTCCTCCTCTTCCTCCTCCTCTTCCTCCTCCTCCTCCCCTCCTCCTCCTCCCCTCCTCCCCTCCTCCTCCCCTCCTCCTCCTCCTCCTTTTCTTCATCCTCCTCCTTTCCTCCTCCTCCTCCTCCCCTCCTCCCCTCCTCCCTCCTCCCTCCTCCCTCCTCCCTCCTCCTCCTCCTCGGATCCGGGGTGTGCTTACAAGCTGTTAAGTCCAGTGTTCACCTTTGAACTCTTTCTGTGAACGCAGCCCGCAGTCCACCTTCTCAACCCAAGGAGGATCACACCGACCGGAACCGTGAGCAGGGGGAAGCCTTGCAGAAGCTGGCCATGCAGCTGAGACGCGTTGGGGACAGCATTGAGCATCGGACGGTTGAAGAGGTAAGGCTTTGGGACCACAGCAAGGTCCTGCCAAGCTGGACAAAGAGCGAAGGAGGCCGCGACTGCCTGTAGCCAGTGTGGGTGGGAAAGGCCAGGACTCTGGGTGAAAATGTCTGGGTCAGCAGCCACTAGACCTGCAGATTGGGAGCTTGAGTCCAAGCCCGCCACGGGCCTCTACTTGGTACTCGGATGTGGCCTTCGGTGGCTGAGTGAACTGAGGGTCTTGGCGCCAGATGTGCCTCTGGCAGGTCACAACCTCCCCTTCCCACCCTGCAGTCTGCTGTATCTGAGTGCGAGAAGCCGCTCCATGCCCTCAAGAGGCTGCGTGTCAGGGTGCCCGTGCAGCCTACGGAACCGCACACTCGGGAGGCCGGGGCAGGAGGATCATTGCCAGTTGGAGGCCAGCCTGGGCTACAAAGTGAGCTCAAGGCCAACTTGAAATGCAGAGCTTGAAATGCAGAGCGAGACCCTGTCTCAAAATAAGACAAAAAGAAAAAAGAGAACTGCAGATATCTGGGCCCAATGCTGAGAAATTCGGATTTAATTAGTTTGGGGTGAGGCCTGTGTATCGGTCACTTTAAAAGCCTTCCTGCCCAGGTGGAGGAGAGCCTGGGCCTTGGCTTGGGGTGTCCTTGGATCAGCCAGAAGGCTCTGATCTGAGCCCTACCCCTACCAGGTTCTCCTGATTATGATAAGAACAACAAGGGGACTTGGGGACACCGAGGCTTGCCATTTGGGATCTTGGGGTGATGAAACCACAGCTTTGTTTTCCTCCGGAGCCACCTGCAGCTAGGCCGTTGGTAGGACTGGCCACCCCTCCAAGCCCTGACATGATGCCACCAGCTGTCTTTGGGGTGTGCCTGTCCCCCTTTATTCCCTAGTTCAAATGTAGATGACACATAGACCTCACCTCCAATCAGACATCCCTTGAGACAAAGCGTAAATGTCACGGGAAAGAAAGAAAATAAGCATGACGGCCTGATGACACGCGCGCTGGGCCGGCTTCATCTGGGCAGGGCTTTCTTGAGTGTGTGCTGCGTGCCAGGCTCGGTGCGGGGCGCTGGTGGCTCAAGCAGAGAGCTGGCGGGGAGAGAAGTCGGTGCTCCTAGAACTCGGAACAGAGGGCGAGCTGGCCGTGAAGCGGATGAGCAGGAAACAGTAGGGTCGGGCCGGGAGGCGGGCTCCGAGCAGGATGCGGGCACCCAGAGAAAGGGCAGCCTCCAGGCCGGCTGCGGTGGGCCCGCGCGCAGGGAGAGAGCACGCGCAGACACGGACGACGCCTCAGACCCGCAGCCAGCAGCTGCAACTAAAGCAGGAGAGGTTTCTTCAGACTCACCTTTCAGTCCATGGTCAGTGGCTCCAGGGAGGAACCAGGCCACACGGGACTGGGGAGGGAAGCTGCTCACTCATGACAGCCAAGAAGGAGAGAGAGGGCCAAGGGAGGAAGCAGGAAGGGAGAGAAACCCTTCCGGGTCATGGCCTTGGTGGCTTTTCTGTCAGGCTTTCCTGCCTCCTCACAGAAAGTCAGCCATACACCCCATAATCCAGTCAGCTTCCACAAGCCTGGCCTAGCAATGCCTGAGGCTCCTGGGTGACACTTAGGTAGAAACCATGGCAGGTGGCTTCAGTGTTCTGGACCTGAGCTCTTGAAGAGTTGGTGGTGGTGCTCGCTGAGGTGGGCGGGGCCTGGAAGGACAGACTTGGGGACCTATGGGACAAGTGGAGAAGTTGCGGAGGTGTGTGGGAGTCGGAAGGAGCAGTCTGGAGTTGGGGGAGACGTTGCAGGTCAAGGTAAGAACTTGGGTTTTTTTTTTTTTTTTAATTTTTTTAAACATTTGTTTATTTATTTAGTATGTGTGTGTGTTTGTGTGGCCAGCTCAGCCCACCAGGGGGCGAGGCTGGCTGGCATGTGGTGCTGGGGATTGAACCGCGGTCCCTGTGCTTTGCCAAGCTTGTTTCAAGTCGGTGCTTTAGACCACTGAGCCATCTCTCCAGCCCAAGAACTTGGGTTTTAAGGAGTCCGTCTTTCTGTAGGCTCGCAGGCTCATCAAGTCCTAGTTTTCGGGCTAACTCAAGAAGAGAAACAAAAGCTATTTAATAATGTTGACTGAGGGCTTGCTATCCGCCAAGCCAGGCTAAGGATTTCACTGGCATTGTTTTCTTTGTTCTCACAACTACTGATGGAGTTGGGACTCTTCTTCCTGACTTTCCAGTGAGGTGCTCAGAGAAGCTGAGTAGCTCGTGCCGGGTTGCACAGATGGGAAGCCGCTCAACCAGGACTTAAAGCTGGGTTGGGCTTATTGCCAAATCCACATGCCACTACCCTGCTGCCTGGGATGTGACCCCAACTTTCAGGGCCACCTTTTTTTGGCCATCTGGGTTCAAGAGTGCAACGCCTGCAGGGAGTAGGACAAGTGACCTCTGTGTCTCTGGAACTTTGCCACAAGGGACCCTTTTCAAAGGGCTTCATGTTAGTTGTGAATGTGATAGAGTGATTGCCTCACATGTGATAAAATCTGGCTCCAAGCTCCACTACCACAAAAAAAACCCTCACTCAAAGCCCTGACCTTCTGGCCTCAAGGGAAAACTGAATGCTACACTGGAAGCTTAATCTACACAGAAGAGTCTGGGTGTGGTAGTGCCCACCTGTAATCCCATGCTTGGGAGGCTGAGGCAGGAGGATCACTGTGAGGTGAGCTCAGCCTAGCCTGCAAAGTGTGCTCAAGGCCAGCCTGAACTATATAGTGAGACCCTGTCTCAAAAAGACAAAAAAATTGAAAATTATTTTTTTTTTTAAAAAAAAAAGGCCTTGGGTTAATCCCTAGTGCAACAGCAAATAGAAATACTGAAACCACCCAGGATTTTGGAGGCAGCTTTATCTACAGGCACGGACAAAGGAATCAATCCTTATTAAAAACGTCAGGCCTCGAAGGCTCAGGGAGAGAGGTTTTCATGGGGCTGCTGGGGAAAATACAGGGTAGAGTACTTGACTGTCCTTGATTGGTTCTTACAGTGTGCATCCTAGTGACCCACCATTTCTAGGTGACAGTAGCCACAAGCTGTAACAGGAACCGCCACTGGGCAGCTAACGGAAGCCAAAGCACCTGGCTGCGGGGGGCATTTTCTGCTGCACTCAGCAGATAGGATTATTGTGAAAGTCCAGTGAAGCAATCTGTGCAAACAGAACAGAGCCCCACCCACAGAAAATGACTGCTAAGTATTATCTATACCAAAAAAAATTGATTTCTCTTGCCTTTGCCTCCAAGTACTCAGAGCTGAACGCCCGTTCACTCGGTCAGGTGCTACTGCACACCGGTGGTGTTTTCTGACCACCACGGCTGCCTCCGAAGGGAAGTTTCATGTGTGACCAGACTTCATGAATCCAAGCAAAGTCTTTGCCTCAACTTTCTGGCTTCGTTCTCAGCTTTTTGAGTATCCAGGGCTTCTTCTAATGTCATTGTCTGCAGAGGAGAGCGGAGAAGGACAAATCACAGCCACCCACTTCCTGAGTTCCCCTCAACCTGCTGCGAGACCTCTTTGCTTCTTTCTTCTTTGCATGTTAGATTTGCCTTTACACCTGTGTTGTATACTGAACCCTTCAGCTCGGGAAACCGATGCTGAACTCTCCTGGCTTTTCTTGCTGTCTCTGATGAACAGCTTTTTTGGGCACTTATTCACTCTAAGAATTCATCCGTTGGAAGTGTGTAATTCGCTGGTTTTCAGCAGGTCCACAGGAGCATGCAGCTGAGACTAGGGCCAATTTTAGGTCGTTCTTCTCATCCCAAAGAGTAGCCCCAAGCCTATTAGCAGTCACTGCCCAGTTCCCGTGACCCTCCTCTCCAGCCTCGCTGATGTCCGTTCTCTCTCTGTGGATCTAGTTGGGGAGTTTTGTGTAAGTGGAACACAGTAAGGAACTTTTTCCTTTTTGTTTGTTTGTTTTTGTTTTTGTTATCAGGAATTGAACTCAGGACCTTGTGCTTGCCACACGGGCACTGTGTCATTGAGCTATATCCCCAGCCCTCTTTTTATTTATAATTAATAAACTTAATTGAAGAACTATCTTTTATTTGTACAGAATATCTGGAAAAAATGCAATACATGTTCTTATGGATTTTAATTTTTGTGCATTATTTCCAGCACAACCTCAGAGAATAATCTGGAGTAACATAATATCACATATCTTCCACCAGGATTTTTTAAAGGTAACCTTTTTTGTTGAGATCTTTTGTTTTCAAGGACTAGAACACTACAGATAGGCTAACCCTTTTTTGTCTCATTAGTTCTGTACCTTTCTGAAGAGCATAACTCTCCTTATTAAAGTGATAAATTTTCCATCCTGTTTTCATTCCATATATCAATTTTCATATATATAACAAACATATATATATATATATATATATATATATATATTTTTTTTTTTTTTTTTTTTTGAGTCAGGGTCTTGCTATTCGTTAAGGATGACTTTGACCTCACAGCAACCGTCCTGCCTCAGCCTCCTGAGTTCAGGAAATACAGGCGTGGGCCACCACGCCTGGCACAATAAGGAACCACTAACAATAGACTTCTTCTGTGTAACATGCTTTGTTGTTTTCAAGGTTCACCCATGCAGTAGCATGAACCCCGCCTTCCTCCATTTTATTGCTAGATAATACTCCACTATCGGTAACAACAATTATCTGTTCTTCAGTTACCTATGGAGCTCTGAGTAATTTCCACTTTGGAGCTTTTTTTTTTTTTTTGCGGACCCGGGGATTGAACTCAGGCCCTTGCACTTGCCAGGGAAGCGCTTATTCCACTGAGCCAGCTCCCCGGCCCTGGAGCTACTTTTTAATGTTTTATTTTATTTAATTTATTTTAAAAAGAATAGAAAAATAATAGATAAGACATTAGAAGCAATACACAATTTTAAAAAAAGATGATAGGCATTCAATAGCGGCTGTTATATTACACATTGCTGACTTCAGTGGATTTCCTCAGATGACGGATACAACCATGTAAAATTGGTTAAAGTAAACATGTTAAGCATTAACTGTTACCTTCAACAAACCAATAGGAATTAGTAATACAATCATCTCAGCTATGCTGTGTATATACATACATGATTTTCCCCCATCTTTTCTCCTTTCCCTCATCCCAATTATTCCTTATGCTCAGTTTCTTTCCCTTTTACTATATCTATTGTACCTTTCATTCAGATTTTATTTTTAAAAAATCCTTATTTACTTATTTATTTGGCACAGTGTCTCACTCCGCAGCTCATACTCCTGACGATCGTCCTGTCTCAGCCTCCCCAGTGCTGGGGTTACAGGCATGCGCTACCATGCCCAGTCTCGGTAGCTGGCACAGCGCACCCCGGGTTCCAGGGCCAGCGTAGCTTGTGGACCAGGGACCAAGCCTGGGTCCTTGCACTTGCCACCCAGCCCCTCTACCTTTCAGATTTTATTTACTCTCTCAGGTTCTCACACCAGCAAGACAATACAATGTTTGCACATGTGGGTCTGATTTATTCCGCTTTTGAGTGTGGTGTCTAGTTACACTCATTTACCTAGGAAAGCCTCAAGTTTGTCTTTGTTTATAGCTGAGTAATACTCCATTGTATAAAAAGACCACCTCTTTCTTACCCATTCCTCAGTTAATGGCATTTGGGTTGTTTCCAAGATTTAGCTGTGACAAATTGCGCTGCTATAATTTTTTGGCTTTCATGAATAATGAGACTACGAACATTTTCATATATGTTTTTGTGTAGACAAATGTCCCTAACTCCTTTGGGTACAAGCCTAGAAATGAAAGTGCTGACTCATAGGTCAACACTAGGTTTGGCTTTCTGGGGAATTTCCAGAGTTTCTGTTTTTCACGGTGGCTGTACCACTTTACCGCGTGGCTACTCAAAGGGGAGGGTCTGGAGTTGTCGCACCCTCGCCCACGATTGCTGTGAGCTGTCTCTCTCATTAGAGCCATCCTGCGTTGTGCGAAGTAGTGTCTTCTTAGGGTTTGTCCAGATGCCTGATGAAACAGTCATTTGTTTATCCCTTTGGCAACATGCCTATGCAGATCCTTTGCCTACCTGTGATTAGGCTGTTGTCTTATGCATTTGATTTTATGGTTGGTTTTTTATTTTTGCGTGTGCGTGTGCGTGTGTGTGTGTGTGTGTGTGTGTTGTTTTTGCGACAGGGTCTCATTATGCAGTTCGGGCTGGCCTTGAGCTCACTTTGTAGCCAGGCCTGCCTCAGCCTCCCAGTACCACACCTGGTTCTGTATATGTCTAGTACAGGGTCTCACGACACGGATCGCACTCGAAGTGATCCTCCTGTTGTCAGCCTCCCAGGCGCTGGGATTACACGCGCCACCACGCCCAGTCTCATTCGCTGTCTCGGCGCGCCCCGGGGTGGGGCCGGCACGGCACACCAGGAAGCAAACCCCGCCCCTGCTTTTCCCTAAGCAGGTATCCTCATTTTTTGTCGCACAGGTTTCCAGTTGTCCCAGCAACATTTGTTAAGACTATTCTCACCCTACAGATTTGTCTGTGTTGCAACGTGGTTATTATTTCTGGATTCCACGTAGCTATCCCTGTATCCACCTAGCTTTGTTTGCAACTGGCTTTGACCTAGACTTCAAATTATCTTTTTTTTATACTACAAAAGTACATTTTAAAATACTTTTTTTTTACGGAACCAGGGGTTGAACTCAGCCCCTTGTGCTTGCCAGGCAAGCACTTATTCTGCTGAGCCATCTCCCTAGGCCCTAATTCTTTTTATTCCCTCCTAAATTTGGCTCTAAGATGCTAGAACCTTTGCTATGTCAGAGCTTTGTGGAGCAACTTTAACAGAATTCCAAATGTGGCAGAGGGCGTCGTTTCCTTCATAAATGGTCATCATGCATTTACCCCTTTCTGTCACTGATGCATTTGAAGATGGTATTGTGGCTCTTTTTTTTTATTTGTGGTACTAGGGATTGAACTCAGGACCTTGTGTTTGCTAGGCAGGCACTTAAGCTGCTGAGCTATCTCCTGGCCCAACTGTACTGCTCTTACAAATGCCAAGTATTAATGCTTTCATCTGCTGAAAGGACTGTTTTTGTTCTGGAACTGCCCACATTTTTTGCTCTCTTACTCTTTTCTTTTTCTTTTTTTTGTATTTTAGAGAAGCAGGGTGTTCAGGGTCTCAGTACTAGATAGGACTCATAGTGATCCACCTCTTTACAACCTCCCAAGAGCTGGGATGACGGGTGTGTGCCACCATGCCCAGCCTCAACAGCTGTCTCACTGTGCCCTGGGGGTGGGGCTGGCATGGCAGGCCCGGGGACGAACCCCAGCCCCTGTGCCTGCTTGCAGGCACTTTAATGCACTGAGCCATTTGGCTGGCCCTTCTTACTCTTTTCAATTAAGCAAGTGTTGGGTTTTCAAAAAGGATCCGTGTTTCTCAAAAGAGCACCTATTTTGCCGTTGAGTTTCAAAGGGTTTTTGTTCAAATGCCTGCTTTTTTTGTTGCTGTTATTTTTTTTTTAATCTGGGATGTGTTATTTCTCTAGATATAAAGTGTGTTTTAATGTAACACACCTTAGGCTTCTAATTGCTTTTAGGATTCTCTCTCTCTCTCTCTCTCTCTCTCTCTCTCTCTCTCTTCTCTCTCTCTCCCTCTTTTTCTGGGTTTTGCCATGTAGTTCAGGCTGGCCTTGAACTTGGTATAATCCTCCTGCCTCAGCCTTCCGAGTGGCTTTAAGATCTTAAATGTAGGGCCCGGGGAGAGAGCTCAGTGGCACAAGTGCCTGCCCGGCAAGCACAAGGCACACACGCACACACACACGCACACGCACGCGCACACACACACACACAAAGCTCTTCAGGGTGCCTCTGCAGCCGCACGCACGCACTCTGTCCTTCTGAGCTCTGGGAGCTGGGGCTTTCTTGCTGTCCCCTGGGAAGCTCCCCACACCCGCACAGGCAGCCTCTGCGCCTAAGCCTCCCCGGAAGCAGCCTGATTCGGGTATTGCACTGTTTCCTCTTAGACCCTGCGTGCTGCAGTCGTGCCCAGGGAGATTCTGAATTTGTTAGGACAAGGAAGACAAGCTAACATTTCTTGAACAGTTTCTCCCAGGTACTCTTTGAAATCCTCCCGTGCGTTTCACATAATTATCCCAACAGTCCTGCGAGACATGGCACTAGGCACTGCAGGAGAAGCGCTTGGGTTTCAGAGAGACGGAGCAGCCTCCTAAGGGGCCCTCCTAAGGGTCCCACACTTCTTCTCGTCTACCAGGATGGAAGGAAATGCATGCCTTTCCTGACTGACGGTCTCATTACCAGAAGGGGGAACATCCCCCCGGGATTTCCAGTTAACGGCAGAACAGTATCTGGGTTCCTTCCTCTGCTGCTGTTGGTTTATCACTCATTCATTTATGCAGCCAACACTCATTGAGCACCTACTATGTGCCAGCTCTGATTAGATGCTGCGGACACAGAGGGCAGCAAGCCTCGGAGGCAGGGTGTGTTTGGCAGGTTTGAAGGACAGCCAGAGGGCCAGTGTGGCTGGAGCCGGTGGAGGGAAAAAAGCCGAGAAACAGAGAGGTAGGCAGTGGGCAAATCACACGAGGCAGGGAGCCAGGGCTGGGATTTTACTTCTGAGCGAGGGGCCAAGCGTGATCACCCAGCCCGAGGGCCGCCGTTCACCTATCGCTTGGCAAGCCTGGGGAAGCCAGAGGAACGGGGCCTCGGCCCTGAGCACAGAGCTGCAGCTTGATTCTGTGGCCAGTCACGGGGGGCTGGGTAGGGGTCAGGCCCCCTGGGAAACTGCCAAGGTGACTCGGAGGACACAGATCTAAGGACCCACCCTCCCTACCTGCTTTCAGCTCCCTCCATTCCTAGAATGATTGCAGTGTGAATTAACTCGATGTTTTCTAGTGCATCGGATTTCTAATTTGAGATTATTTGAATGCTTTTTTTGTTTTCCAACCTACTTCTCTATTTCTTTTTTGTTAGCAGGGTCTCGGACAGGAGGACAGAGGTGTACCAGCTCGCTTCACCTTGTTTGTCTTTGGAAGAGCCCAGGCGCTGCTTGGATTCCTCCTGAACAACCGCCCGCGATAGGAGGCCAGGCATGTGCAGTCCCGTCTCGCCTTCCTGCTCGGACCCTCGCCTCCTCCGCCTCCTCCTCGTGTTCCCATTTGCCTCAGCTTCTACCCTGCCCCGTGCTCTCTGCAGGTGTTTGAGGGACTACAGAGTCCCTGGCTGCTGTCTTTCGGGGACAGTCAGCTAAACCACAACTGCGATGCCTCTCGACTGGGAGCCGGGGAAAACCCAAAGTGGTGGTGTCCCGGCTGCTGCCAAGTGCTTGCTTGTGGGCGAGCAGCAGAACTCCCTCGCACACAGCCGGCCGGACTCCCTCGCACACAGCCGGCCGGACTCCCTCGCACACAGCCGGCCGGGCCTGCTGCCCTCCCCTTTCCCTACCAGTGCTCTCAGGCTCCCATCCTGCCCCTAGTGTCACCTCTCTTCTGTGACTCCCTCCATCCCATCCCTGATCGTGCTGAGCTTGGCCATGACCACCCGGCCCTGGCCGTGGGCATGGGCATCTTGTAGGGCTTGCCCAATGACTGCTGACTTTGCCTGCTTAAAATCAGGAGTGTGAGTCCTTGCCCCGCCTCCTGGAGTGCACAGCCTGGCTGGGGCTGGACTCGGCACCAGCAGGAGCCTGGACCTCCTGTCCCCCGACCCAAGGACTACGGGTGCTGATCCATTGGTGGGCCCTGTGGTGGTTGAATGCACTCCTGTCTTCTCTTTTACGCTGCTGAAAGATTCAGTGTCACAGCCCCCCAACCCACGACAACAGAATTACAAGGGTTAAGAATGTTTGTTGTTTGTTGTTATAAATTAAAAGTTCTCTGTGTTTGTATGTGCATCTAGAGTTTTTCATAGGAAAACGATGAAGAAGTATGTTTAAAAAAACTGGCTTAGCTGGGGAAACAGCTCAGTGACTTAAGGGCCTGCCTGGCAAGCACAAGGTCCTGAGTTTGATCCCTAGTTAAAAAAAAAAAAAAGAAAAAAAAACTGGTTTAAAATGAAATAAATGTTGTTGTTTTGCTGAGCATGAAAGCTCTGTGTGTGTGTGTGTGTGTCTTTTGTGAAGGAAGGATTCCACTTACGCCTGTTCATCTAGGCTTATAATTTTGTAGATATTGTGTTTCTTTTGTCCCTCTAAAGGGAAATGTCCCTGCTTTTTTAGTCTGTCTCAGATAAAGTCCTTTGTTTTGATCAGTTTAGAATATGGCCAGCTGGCATAGGACAGACCCTGCAACTTCTTTTTCATTTATTTTAAAAATTCTTTTGAACAGCATTTATTCATATGGTTTGAAATCAAAACAAGATAAAACAGTTTAGAGTGAAAACTCTTGCTCCTTTTTTTGTTCTGTTTTTTTGGTTTTTGAGTCAGGGTCTCACTAGGTGGTTCAAGCTGGACGTAGACTGATTGTGTGGCCCAGGCTGGCGACAAGCTCATAGCAGTCCTCCTGTTTCAGCCTCCCAAGTGCTGAGATCACGGGCACACGGCACAGTGCCTGGCTTGCGCTCTTACATTTTACCATGAACTCCAGTTATGTTTGCTTTAGCTGTTTTTGGTCTTTTTCAAACACAGTGCCACTATGCGGTTCAGGCTGGCCCTGAACTCACTATGTAGCCCAGGCTGGCCTCGAACTCAGCGATCCTCCTGCCTCAGCCTCCTGAGTGCTGGGACTACAAGTGCACACCACCAAGCCCAGCAGCAATGTTTGCTTGTTAATCCTCCTTCCAGTATCTGTGTACAGATCCATGAAACATATATTCACCCCTTGCTATCGGAGAGGAATTGTTCTAGAACCCATTGAGGAGATTTAACAATCTTTGCATACAACCTATGCAAACCTTCCTGTATACTTTAAATCATCGCTGTATTACTTATAATACCTGGTGCAATGCAAGTATGTTGTTATACTGAATTGTTTAATGACCAAAACAAGCTGCTCAACCCACTTAAGACAGGAAGGAGAGGGAGAAAGAAAAGCCAGGGGAAAGACCCTCTGAAGCCCCCCCCACCCCTGCGGGGTCCACCTCTCACCAGCACGTCCTGCCACGAACTCATCAACAGATTCATCCCCTGCTGACGGCAGCGTCCCACGAACACGGGAGCGGCAGGCGCCACACATTGTGGGCCTCGGTTTCTGCTTGGCATGGCGCTGCGCCAGGTGCCTCACCAATGCGAACGCATTTGCTCTTCCTCTGGTCTTCCCTTGGGAGCCCTTGCGGCTCGGGAGTCCGTCCTCCTTTTCCCTCTTTTGAAAAGCCTTTGCTGGTTTCCTGACTTCGCCAAGGTCAAGGTCGCAGGAGCAGTGAGGACGCCAAGGCCAAGTCCCGCCTGGGAGCCCGGGGCGCAGGCAGTGCGCGGAAGCTCGCAAGCTGGACGCTCGAGCAGGACGAGGCCCCGAGCCGAGACCATTCCTATCACCCCACGGGAGCACGCCGTCCCCGGGCGAAGATGAGCGAACACCTTTTCTCTCCAAAACAATACTCCCTGCCTTTACTGCAGCCGGCGGGCCTTCAGCAGCCCTGGAGTTTCCTCTCTCTGCAGGGCGCCCGCAGCACACACCAGCGTCCGCGGGCTGGGCAAGAGGGGCGTCTGCAGGCTGCCGGCGACTCCGCGGGCAGACCCAGAGAAAGGCAGATTCCTTTTCTAAGCCGTATGTATGACTCACAAACTCTCCTTCTTTGAGGAATTACCTTCCTTCCGTTCCTATTTCTTGGCGGGATTTTATTTTTCTTGTTATGGGTCACTCAGCATAGGAACCAGATCAGCTAGATAGAGATTTGAATAGAGCCTTTTATTTACTGAGCTCAGGTCCGTCGGCCACTTCTCTCGCAGGAGAAGGCCGATCGGCCCGAACGTAGGTAGCAGGGGGGATTTATAACAGAAATTATATCTAGTTTGGTAAGCAAACTTGTTACCTAGCACAGAACAACAGAAACTACATTCGACACAGCTGCAAAGTGTTTGTAACTAAAGAACTTTTATAGCCTAATGGTAAGTGTATATTTTATAAGATACATCTTAAGCTGACCACGTTATAGATGGTTAAGGAGGGAGCTTGTTGTCTTGACAAGAGACAGTCATTTATTGTTGAACAGCCTTGAGCCGAGAGGGAGAACACATGTCTTAGAGCAGCTAACAGGAAGCGCAAGGTTTTGTAAAAAATAATTTCCCACGTTAAGGCACAGAATCCTGTTAACCCTTTGCATTCTATGGTAAGGAGGGGAGGGGAGGTGGAGCGTTCTTCCAGAAAAATCCCGGGCTGGGATTGAATGAGTCATGACTGGCCGAAGCATGAGCAGGTGTGTGTGCACATAGAACCTTCTTTTAAGTCATTACATCTAATTTTTATTGTCACTGTAGTAGAAAGAGCCTGTTGTCAAAAGTTAGGAAGCGGCAGAGAAGCATGAAGCAATAGAGCAGAAAACAGCAAATCCACCCAAAGATGCCCGCAGGAAGCACACGGGGCGCTCCCTTTCCTTTGCCTGGGCACTGCCCTTCTCAGGATGCTCTTGCCAGGAGCCCACTATAAATGAATATATTGATGCCTGTGTCCACGTGGCAAAGCCAGGAGGCCCCTAAGCTGGGTGACAGGTTCCAGGTCGCACAGATTCTCAATGGTTACTAAGCCCAGGGGCTCGACAGAGGCTCTGTGGGGTAGAGAGCTCTTCCTAGTCCTCATCTCAGTCCAAGAGGTTTATAGTTGGAATCCCAAGGATAAGTTACTGGAATCCCATCAAGTTGATTCCAATCTAGCACTTCCAGCGCAATCCACCACAAGAATAAAGACACTGAAGCATATTTACAATTATGGGGAGCCAAGGGGTTCTAAGTACAGCCATGAAAATGGCTATCTGAAAAAAAGAAAAAAGAAAATGGCTATGTGGAACATCAGCCCTTATTCAATTTTTAAAAAAATTTTATTTATTTGTGTGTGTGTGTGTGGCCAGCTCAGCCCACCAGGGGGCGGGGCTGGCTGGCATGTGGTGCTGGGGGATTGAACTGCGGTCCCTGTGCTTTGCTAAGCTTGTTCTAAGTAGGTGCTTTAGACCACTGAGCCATCTCACCAGCCCCAACAGCCCTTATTCAAAAACGGATCCCAGCTTTTATTCATTTGTGAAGGGGGAGTGACTTGAGGTTGAGCGACTGAGAGTGGTGGGAAGTGCGTGGGTGACACGAGCGAGGCCAGTGGGGCCTGCATTTGCCTCTGCTGCTACATGCAGTGAGAAGGCTATGCGGAGAGTGACCTGCATGACACAGCTGAGACAGTATCTGATGTTTTGGGGTCCGGTACTTCAGCTCTGATGCGTAATCTTTCAATCCCCGGGAAGTCACAGCCTCTGTCTGAGGCTCATCCCAGCCGACAGCGTGGAGCACTGGCTCTTCGTCCTGTCTCAACCCAGCTCATATTAATGAGCAGCAGGTGGGGTTGCCAGGAAAACACATGTGCCGTCTTCAAAGCCTACCACCAGCTCCTGGGTGAGACCGGTACGCACTGGTTAAGGCCAGTTGAAGGGATGAGGAAAGGTCCTCACCAGCTCTGTACATTTCAGTACAAGAAAATAGGGTCAGGCTGAGCCAAAATTGAGACCACTGCTCTTCTTTCAAGGAGAGTCGCTCGGGTGGTCCTCCACAGTCCCCCTCTGCCTTGAGGAAGCTGGAGCAGAGTCAGTCGTGGCTGTACGGCCTCTGGTCATTGTCAGGCTGAGAATCCGCCGTGACACACTTTAATGAGAAGAATTATGAACAAGAGAAGGCGTCCACCAATTCCAATGTAAGGCCAGCAGCGAGCCTGGAGGTATGCAAATGGATTTGGTTGCTCTATAGCATCAGCAAACTTGTCCCAGTCTTTAATCTTGGCATTGAGGGTGGCTGTCTGTTGTGATGTGAACAATACCTTTTTCTGAAGAGCATCTATATCCAAAGCAATATTTTGATGGGTAGCTCCTTGTATATGTATTTTGATCAGTCCTCAAGGATGTAGACTTTTGTTATATGGTAATGGGGTGATACAAAAGCGGGTCATATTATAGTGACATTTTATTTTTAGTTTATTTATTTATTCTTATGTATTTGGTATAGGGTCTCTTTCTGCAGCTCGAACCCATAGTGATCCTCCTGCTTTCAGCCTCCCGGTGCTGGGATTACAGGTGTCCGCCATCACGCTGGGTCTGTGCTGGCCGAGCACACCCAGGGGCAGGGCCCGCTCCACAGATGGTTCCAGGGATCCAACCCTGGTCCCTGCGCTTGCCGAAGCAGGCGCTTAGTCCACTGAGCTATCCCACCAGCCCTGTAGTGACATTTTAAATCTTGTTG